TCCTGCCAATGGGGCCTTAGGTGGAACTTCCGACAGGGCCACGAAACGTGTGGTGGATATGCCGACATCGGCGCCTCACGCATGCGACTTTCGCCACTGGGGCCTTCTGCGGAGCCCCCTATGGGGCCACGAAGCGTGCGAGGGGTGTGCCGAAATGGGCCTAGTCACGCATGCGGTTCCTACCAATGGGTCCTTAGGTGGAACTCTCTATAGCGCCCAATTTGAAAGGTGTGCCGACATGGGCGCGGTCGCGCATGCGATTACTGCCACTAGGGCCTTCGGTGGAGCTTCCTATCATGCGGGCGCAACCACTGGGGCCTTAGGTGGAGCTCCCTGTGGGACAACGGAACGTGTGAGGGGTGCGCCAAAGTAGAGTGGCGGCGGCATGCGGGCGCAACCACTGGGGCATTAGGTGTCCCTGAAGGGCCACGAAACGTGTGAGGGGTATGCCGACATGGCCTGGAGAAGGCATGGGAACACAACCGCTGGGGCCCTAGGTGGGGCTCCCCATGGGGCCACTAAACTTGTGATGGGCGCGCCAAAGTGGGGTGGCGGCGGCATGCGAGCGCAACCACTGGGGCCTTCGATGGAGCTCCCTATGGAGCACGAGGCGTGCGAGGGGTGTGCCAACGTGGGGTGGCGGCGGCATGTGGGCGCAACCACTGGGGCCTTAGCTGGAGCGGCCACGACACGTGCGAAGGGTGCGTCCAAATTGGGTTGCGGCGGCATGCGGGCGCAACTACTGGGGCCTCATGTGGAGCTCCAAATGGGGCCACGAAACGCGAAAGGGGTGCGCCAAAGTGGGGTGGCGGCGGCATGCGGGAGCAACCACTGGGGCCTTAGGTGGAGCTCCCGCCACGAAACGCGTGAGGGGTGCGCCTAAATGGGGTGGCGGCGGCATGCGGGCGAAACCGCTGGGGCCTTAGGTGGAGTTCCCTGTGGGGCCACGAAGCATGTGAGGGGTGTGCGAGAACGGAGACATGCGGAAGGCAGAGGCAAGAGTTGGGACGGGAGGAGGGCGAGAACGAAGGAAGGAAGGGGTTGGACGCCAGGCGCTGCTGACTCAAGGCGAGGACCCAACTCAACATAGGATGGCTGGGAAAAGCAAGAAGTGATACCACTTGGATGGCCTGCCATAACGGGGGGGCATGGCGACCCCAATCCCCGACCTTGTGGGGGCTTCGGCCGTGCAAGAAAACTGGAGGCCAACTCGGGGATATGCGGTGGGGGAGGTGGCCATCCTCGATAATGGTGCGCCCGAATCCACGGACATTTCGGCGTGTGTGAGACGCTTTTCCGTTTGAGTCGTCGTTGTCGTCGTCGTCGTCGTCGTCGTCGTCGTCGTCGTCGTCGTCGTCGTCAGTCCCACGGGAATTCAGGAACAAAGAAATGGAAGAAAGTCGTATATAATTAAGTGGAAAGGAAGCTCTTCCCTTTGATCCCTTCCCTGCCGTGGGGGGGTCCAGAGGTGGATCCCTGGGAGGGGGTCCCCAGGGGAAAATAGCGGGGGGGGTCCGGGGTCCGAATACCATCCCCTGGGGGGTCCTCGAGCCCCAAAAAGCCTTTAGACCAGCCAAGAATGCCCCAAGCAACCTTCAAGACGGTCCAAGTGGGCCCCGAATCGCCGAACGATCGGTCCAAGACGCCCGAGATAGCCTCTAGATAGGCCAAGAGGCCTCCAAGAGCACACCCACGAGGGCACCACGAGGCAAGCTCCATTGATTTCCCGTTGCTTAAAAAAAAATTGGGGCGTTCTGGCCTTTTCGGCTTCCCGACGCTCCAAGACGGCCCACGAGGCACCCAAGATCGCAGCCACCCAAGATCGCCCGAAGCAGCCCAACAGGCCCCCAAGGCGGTCCCCAGAAAGCTCCAAGAGGCCGAGCGCTCCGAAGAGAGCCCAAGAAGCATTCCTGAGGACTCTGATCCACATCAGCGTCGTCATCGTCGTGGCCGCCGCCGCCGCTGCCGCCGTCGTCGTCGTCGACGTCGACGTCGTCGTCGTCGTCGTCGTCGTCGTCGTCGTCGTCGTCGTCGTCGTCGTCGTCGTCGTCGTCGTCGTGGCCGCCGCCGCCGCTGCCGCCGTCGTCGTCGTCATCGTCGTCGTCGTCGTCGTCGTCGTCGTCATCCCCCCTCAGGGTCGGCGGCACCAGCCGTAAGGCCTTCGCAATACCCCTCTCGGGGCGGGGGCAATCCCCAGGTTCCTCTGCTGTCCTGAGCGGCCTGACCGCTCGGGGGGGACTCAGGGACTGTCGGGTCGGACGGATGGGTGGGTAGCAGCGGAGGCGGGGTCAACGAGTCGGCTCCAGCGCCGGGAGGCGCCGGCGAATCCACGAAGGTGCCCGGCGGCGGGGCCGCAACCAGCTGCATGCAGCAGATGTCGTACCCGCCCGCCGAGTCCGACACTCCACGATGACGAGGACGTGGAAGAATGTGAAGCTGAAGAGCCAGGAAGATCAGAACCTCGAGGACGGGGCGATGACGATGAAGGTGATGGCGCTCTTCCGATGCGTGCCACGGACGAGCTCTGCCGTGGCGCTGTCATTTCGCCACGGCGGAGGGGGAAACCGCGCCTGCGCAACAACAAAAGCTCACCACGGGCAGGGTCCGCCCGCGAGCGGCGCCGGGGCACAACGCACAGGGTGCGCTGTGCCAGGCTCCCACCCGCGGGCAAGTCTCCCCCCTTGAAGGGGCCCTGGGACACACAACTAGATACACAAATAAAAGGATTCCCCATATTTTCCAACCTTTTCTAGGTTTTCGTCTTCCCCCCCCCACTTCCCATATGTCCGCATATTTTCCTGGGGATCGACTATGAATTGTGCCTGTGTGTTATTCCCCTCCTGACCCCTATTGGGCCAGTCCCCCATGCAAGCAGCAATCCTCCCAGTGAGGCTTCGAGCTGCGCGCAGGCTTCGGTGGCAACTCCATGGCAGCCTCCCGTGCCACCATGCTGGCTCCTGCTAGGGGAACGAAAAATGACATAAACATAAGAACTCGAAGGTCCGCGCGGATTTCTTGGATCCGCGCTGGACCCCCTCCCTGGTGCGCGAAGCGCGCCAGGGGCGGCGCCGGAGGCGCCGCCGAGGGGCCCCAACGCGGACCCGAGAAATCCGCGCGGACCTCCGAGCTCTTGTGTTTATGTCAGTGTTTGTTTCCCTACTTGCGGATCGACGCTGACCGACGCGAGTCGATGCCAAGCGACGCCCCCGGGGCGCTCCGCGCCCCAGATTCGAGATGTTGAGGCCGCCCCGGACTGCTCGGGAGGCCTGCTGAGGCCTGCCGGGACTACCCTTAAGTCGGGCGTTTTACAGAGGGCTTGCGACGAAAAATAAGAAATAGCCCAGAAATACACCAAGAAGGTCAAAAAATACTAAAAAAATAGTCCCCAGACTATTGTTGGACCATTTTGGGATTATTTTTGGGGCATTTTTTATTTTTCGTCCAAAATCCCCCTGTAGGGGGACAGGCCCGACTTAAGACTACCCGGGGGGGACTGTCTGTGCGCAGCGAGAGGCTTCACCAAGTCATCCTCTGCAGCAGGTTCGCGTCGCGATGACGTTGACGTCTGTGTCAGACACCGCGTCGATCTTTCACCCTTGTATGTTCTCGGCGGTGGACAAACCTCCCACGACGCCCTCTCGCGAACCGAAAACGGCCACTTCGCTAATCGACGTGTCAGGGTGGGAGGTCTATCCACCTCCGATATTCGCGTCTTTCCGCCAGCGAACATCCTTCGACATCGGCCGGCTCCGGGCCACTGGCGGCCCTCATGCCTTGAAAGAACGCCTGCGCTGCCATCGCCGCCGTGTCGACACAGCACGGACCTGCCGCAATCACCCTCCACAGCGGCTCCACCACACCCACCAATACAACTTGGCGCACGAACAAGGTCATGCCATTCTCGCTCACGCCACGAGGACAGCTGACAAAAAGCTACACAGGCGTGCCAACTGCTCTAAGCGGCTCGACTTTGGAAACGCATGCTGAACACCAAAACAACGCATTTACACAGCCAGTGAAACGTGTCCCGCTCCAGAACCCCTGAACCTAAAACAAATGGTCATCTCTTGTGGGGAAGATCTTTTGCTCCCGCCAGCATTGAACTCTCTAGCCGCTTCTGTCTTTTCCTCTTCGCATGGCACGGGCAGCCCTTGCGCAGCCCTTGCGCAGCCGCGAATCTCATTGCGGGTCTCCCGAAAGCCGCCTCACTTTCAGGGCATCGACGCCCTTCGCCTTGACGAGTTTCTCCTGGATGGGGTCGAAGTAAGTAACGTCAAACTTGTGGCCGTCCTTTGATGCATCGTTAATCTTGCCAAGGACGTGGTCGTGCTTCTCCAGGCCGTCCAGGCCTGTGAGGACGACCGTCTCGCCTGTGCCGAGAACCTCGGATATCAGAGCATCGTGATTATCATGCCTGTTCTCCGGCATGTAGTCTTCGGCGAAACCTGTGGACGCGTCGATCCTCTTCTGGGCATCCCCAAAGCAGCACATGAATTTGTTCAAGAAGGGCCGCATGGCGATCAGGGTGGGGGTCAGGAACGCCTTCTGGAGATCGAATATACGCTTCGGCAACGGTTGCCCCGTGAGGAACGTCACGACCTCGTTCGTGAAATGGTTGCACGAATGCGTGAGGATATCATACCTCGCCCGGTCATACAGCGGGACCATTTTCTCGGCAAGCCAAGACACGAACTCGTCGTGCGTGACGAACGTGTACCCTATCCTAACAACCGGCAGGTCTGGGCGCTGCTCCGACCACTCGAGAGGCTCCGAATCGGAGTACTGTTTGAGGGGCTCCCCGAAACACTTGGTGCACGGCGGCTCGCTGCGGTAGACATCTCCGCCGTACCAGTACTCGCTGTTGTATACAAGCACGCCGGTATGAGCAGCCTGAACCGTTTTGCCCATGAGGACCTTGCTCCACTTCTGGGCGAAACCCTTGGACACGTCGTACAGCAGCACCTCCACGGGAGTTTTTTTCCGACCGAGCATATACGACATCACCTCCCACAAGTCGACCATCCCGTCGCCTTCAAGGTCTGCGGCGTCGAAAATGTTGTCCCTGATGCTCTCCAATCGGTAGATCTGCCGCCGTGCCCCCAGGGGGCACGGCGCTGAGGCGTGGTATGATGCCATTTTTTATATAGCACCCCGCAATTGCGGATAAGAGTGAGGGGGCGGGCGCGGGCGACGCGGGCGTCGTCAAGCCGGCGGACCTCGTGGCCCCCACCTTCCCTGTCGATGGCGCTCTCCTTCTCCCCCTCCTCCTCCTCCTCCTCCTCCTCCTCCTCCGCCTCCTCCTCCTCCGCCTCCTCCTCCTCCTCCTCCTCCTCTTCCTCGTCCTCGTCCTCGTCCTCATCGTCATCGTCGTCCTCCTCCTCCACCTCGTCCTCCTCGTCCTCCTCTTCTTCCTCGTCCTCCCTCTCCCCCCCTCGTCCTTCCATCATCGTCCTCCCATTGTCGTCATGATCCTCCTCGTCGTCCTCCTCCTCTTCCCCCCCTCCCGATCCTCCCCCCTCCTCCTTTTTGTCGTCGTCGTCGACGTCGTCGTCGTCGTCGTCGTCGTCCCCTTCCTCCCCCTCCTCCTCCTCCTCCTCCTCCTCCTCTTCCTCCTCCTCCTCCTCGTCCTCCTGCAAAAGCAGCCCGCCGCAGGCGCCGAAAAATTTGGTTTGTACACTGAACGTGGTTTGGGTCGCTGGTGGGCCGCGGGTTCTCCACCAGGAACGAATGCACAAGATGCCCGCCGCAGGCGCCGAAAAAATTGGTTTGTACCCTGAACGTGGTCGCGGGTGGGCTGCGGTCTCTCCACCTAGAACGAATGCAAAAGATGCCCGCCGCAGGCGCCGAAAAATGTGGTTTGTACCCTGAACGTGGTTTGGGTCGCGGGTTGGTCGCGAGTTGGTCGCGGGGTGGGTCGCGGGCTCTCCACCTGGAAGGAATGCAAAAAAAGCCCGCCGCAGGCGCCGAAAATGTTGGTTTGTACCTTGAACGTGGTTTGGGTCGCGGGTGGGTCGCGGGTGGGTCGCGGGGTGGGTCGCGGGTGGGTCGCGGGTGGGTCGCGGGTGGGTCGCGGGTGGGTCGCGGGTGAGTCGCGGGGTGGGTCGCGGGTGGGTCGCGGGTGGGTCGCCGGTGGGTCGCGGGGTGGGTCGTGGGGTGGGTCGCGGGTGGGTCGCGGGTGGGTCGCGGGTGGGTCGCGGGGTGGGTCGCGGGATGGGTCGCGGGGTGGGCCGCGGGGTGGGTCGCGGGTGGGTCGCGGGTGGGTCGCGGGTGGGTCGCGGGTGGGTCGCGGGGTGGGTCGCCGGTGGGTCGCGGGGCGGGTGGCGGGTGGGACAACGACAACAAACAACAACAACAACAACAACAACAAACAACAAACAACAACAACAACAACAACAACAACAACAACAACAACAACAACAACAACAACAACAACAACAACAACAACAACAACAACAACAACAACAACAACAACAACAACAACAACAACAACACGAATCCGCACCGCGGAATCCCAATTCAGCCACGCACCCAGGGACAGTGAATGACCGTTCGGCCCCCTCACTCTGATAAATCAAGACCCCCACCAAAAGAATTGGGAAGGTCATCTCCCACCCGCCGTGGTCCGCCCTCCCTCCGCACGCGCGCCCCCCGTGCCCGCGCTCAGCGCGGCGTCAGGCGAAGGTCCGGTGCCGCCAGTCCGCCCGCCGCCACACCCCCGCCGCCGCCCCCGCCGGTCTGGATTCCGGGGGATGCCAGCCCATCCTCCGCCCGGGCGCTGCCCGACGCTCCCCCTCCCGAGCCGCCGCCCCGGCAGTCGCCACTTGCCGAAACCACCCCACCCCAGCCGCCTCCGCCGCCGCGCCCCCAGCCCCCGCCCCCCGCCCCGCCACGACTTCACCCTCCGTGGTGAGGCCCGGCGTACCTTCCGCCGCCGTCGCCGTCGCCGCCCGCCGAATCCACCCCGGCCGCCACCCTATCGCCACCTCTTGCGCCACCGCCGCCGCCCACTCCCCCCCAGCCCGCCACTCTGACACGACGGGTCAGTCCATGGTCACGGCTCTTGTAAACATTCTGGGACCCCCCCCCCCTCCTGCTTACAACTGGGTGCGTGCACCGCCCCAGCCCCTCCCACCTCTGGGCGACGCGACGGCTCCCGTGCGCTCTAGGAGGCTCCCCAGGGTTGCAAACACGGCCCAGGAAAGCCAACAAGGCAGCAAAGATGGCCCAACCTTGCCCCAACAGTCAGTCACCCAAAAATCCCCAAGAATATTTTCCCAGAGGCGCGCTGAAATGGCCCCAAGAGGCTCACAAGACGCCCACGCTCCAGGGTGACCAAGAACACTCAAAAGCAAAATCACTTCTCAGAGTTGCTCCTGTTCCCCGGGCCTCTTGTCTCGACATGCCGTCAAGATGGCCTGGGAGGAGCGCCGACGACAGCCCGAAGAGACCAGCGAGAGCTCGCACGCCCAGGGCAGCACCAGGAGGGCCCCGAGGCGGCCCAAGAGGGAGAAGCTCCCAGGAACCGGCCCAGGTCGGCCGAGCCCCATGCGGCCCAAGGCGGCACCAAGACGGCCCAACGGGGCCCCAAGACGGCACGAACGGGTACACGTCGGTCGGAAGAAGAAGGTAAAAACGTGAAGTAGGAAGGCGGATGTAGTAGATTGGGTCCAGGCCCCCCCAGATGATAACGAAACACAGCAAAAGCGTGTCGGTTCTTGAAGTAGGAAGTCGCTTGAAGTAGATTGGGATCTGGGAATCCAGAAATACCTACTTTCAACGACCGGCGTGTAACAGGAGGGCGCCGAGACGGCCCTGCGGGCGCTCAAGACAGCCCCCAGATGGACCATGCAGGCGCAATCAGAGCCCCTTAGGGAATCGAGACAACAGGTGCCGCATGTTGTGGCCGTCCGGGCGTTGCTCGAAGCCGCGCCACACAGTGCTGCGCTGGCACGGTGGCGGAACCTGGCGAAGGCAGCTGGATATCATTATCACTGCAGTCTGCACTGTTGTGCATATCCTTCAACACCTCTTCCAACTCCTCTTTGGTGATTTTCCCGTCGCCGTTCTTGTCCCAGGTCTTGAACTGCCTGATCATGTCGTCCAGCTTCTTCGGGTTCTTCTTCAAGGACGTATTGACGTCTTTCCTCCACGTCCGCATGTCCAGCCCACCCCTCGACTCGTCTGTGCCGAGCATAAATGTGGCAAACTCTTCGTAGGAGACATAGCCATCATTGGACATGTCCATCTGCGAGAAAAAAGTGTCGCAGCTATGATCGATCAATTCCTCTTCTTCCTTGCTGAGCTTGCCGACCTTGCTGCAGGCGACTTTCTTCCAGATCTCCCCAAGTTCCGCTCTGTCCAGCATGCCGTCTTCACCACAATTCTCTTGAAATTGCGCCTCCAAGTCTGTCAACAACGGCCGGATCTTGGCATGATGTATCTTCCGCTTCGTGGGGAATTCCAAACTCTCGCCAGGGTCGAGCGGGTTGCAGCAACACGAAAACATCCTGGCATAGGCGGGCCTGCGCCGGCCAGCCCCTCTTCGTACCCTCAGCCAGCCGTGGCGCGACGGGGCCGGGCTAGATTAACCCACCAGGTGCCGCGAGCCAAAACGGCTGCGTACGGACAGTGAGGATGAGGATGGTGGTGCTGACAGTGGCAAGGATGAAGGCGTCAAGGGTAAGGATGTAGATGAAGGCGAGGATGAGGCTGAGGCGAGGAGGAGGATGAGGAGCAGGAGGAGGAGGAGGAGGGAGGGAGGGAGGGAGGGAGGGAGGAGGAGGGGGGGAGGGAGGAGGAGGAGGAGGAGGAGGAGGAGGAGGAGGAGGAGGAGGAGGAGGAGGAGGATGTGCGCCAGACTGCGCCCAGCCGCACACGAATGGGCGCGCCGCCTGATCGTGGCAGAAGCAGCCGCCATCACTGCATCGGCAGAGCCCAGAGCTGGCAGATCGGGATCACGCGGTGCGATTCCGAGGGTGCGAGCTGCGAGAACCTGCAGCGCACTCAAGCTCACGCGGGGGTCGTGCGAGGCTGGGATCCTGCAGGCAGGGGGGCTCGACCCAGGCCCCACGGCTCCGCCGAGGCCTCGCGGCTTGAACTTGAGCCCACATGGCTAGGAAGAAGGAAGAGGAGGAGGAGGAGGAGGAGGAGGAGGAGGACGACGAGGACGAGGAGGAGGAGGAGGAGGAGGCGGAAGATGAGAAGGAGGCGGAAGAGAAGAAGGAGGAGGAGGAGGAGGAGAAGGGGGAGAGGGAGGAAAAGGAGGGGGGGAGGGAGAGGAAGAGGAGGAGGCGGGGAGGGGGACCGCGGCGCAACAGTGCCTACGGAGATCGCAGCGGCCACGACGAATCCCATCGACGTGCAGGCCCTGTCGACGCACCCACAGCCGAGCCGCCCCTCCGCTCGACGATCGCCCCGGCCCGATGGCGCGCTCCACAAAAGGGGGAGCTCCTGGCAGCAGGAGCGCAAGCGCCCGCCACGCGCGCAATCGAATTCGGGCCTGTGTCGGCGCAGCGCCCAAGGGGAGGAGCAGAAGCCGCAAAAGATGGACATACGGCTGCAGCGCCTACGAGGGCTACGGCGTCGACAGAGTGAAGCAGGCCAGAGGCCAACTGAGGTGGCAATTACAGCGGACGCCACATCTACGAGGCGCAAGAAGCTGCATGGCAGCACGCCTGCAGCCGCAACAGCAGTGAGAGGCGGAGCAGGCTGGGCACAAAAACTGAAACGCCTACGGGTTGCGAACAAGACTGGAGACCAGCTGAATCGATGGCGGCGACCACGGAGGCTACGGCGAAAACGGCGGCAGCGGGGCGAAGCAAGCCTGAAGGCACGCTGCGGGGCCTGCGGCAGCAGCGGTGTCTATGACAACTGCACCAGGGCGAAGCGCGGGGCCCGGAGGCGGCGGCCGCGACGGCAGCCACGGCGGCCGCGAAACGAAGCAGGCCAGGCGGCAATCTACGACGCCCACGGCGGCCACAGCGGCCACGCCGAAGCGAAACAAATCGGGCGAGGACAGCCCAGGAAATCAGGAACAAAAACAAAAAAAACGACACGTTGCGCACACTACGAGCGTCAACGCTGGGGCGTTGGAGCGGCAGCAGGCGGCGCGGCGGGCCCACGCAGTTTCCCTTTCCCCCAAAACATGGAATCATAGTGGAATCAGAATCAGATCATAGAGAAACCAGAGGTTGGGACCAAGGTGGAACCAGCGTTGCTGGGTGTCGGGGGCGGGGGGTGCATTTTGCCTATGAATGCGAGCACACGCCAAGACGCAGGTGCACCAGATGTTGAAGGGCTGGCGACAACTCATTGGCAAGCTTTTAAAGATATTGCTGATTTCTCGGACAAGCGTGACTGGAAGGCAGTAGTCAGCCCACCTCGGCCCCACCGACATGTGCTCGCTGCAGGAGGGGCTTTTCCAGCACTGAGGAGGCGCGCGCAGTGGCACTCACGCGTATACCTTGTCCAACGCACCGATCAACAGCAGGGTGTAGGACAGCTCGAGGGAGTACTGAAGGGGGCCCTGAGGCACACAGATAAATAGACACTAATAACAGGATTCCCCAGATCTTCCCATATGTTCTGGGTTGCTGTCTTCCCCCCCACTTCCCATATTTAGTGCTCACCCCTTCCTTCTCCTCCTCCTCAGCGCCGCACGCGGCGCTCTCGTTTGCGCGCGCCGCGGCGGCGGGCACCCTGTGGTGCGAGCGCGGCCGAGCCCAGGGCGCCCGTATGTTCCCATAGTTTCGGGGGAATCGACGATTCATTGTGTCTGTGTGTTTTTCCCCCTCCTGAAGTACATACTTCCAGCGGGCGGCCCCAGCGACCTCTAGGACTTCGGGCGCGAGCTGCTCGGCGCGGCCCTCTACCTCGCGCCAGGCGAGAAGCCTGGGGGGCACCCACCTGATCAAGCTCCGCAATATTTCGAGTAGGGGACCGACGTCAGAATTGATTTGACCCAGAATTGTCTTATCTTGTCGCATCCACTGGCAATTCGTAGCACTGTCGCAGATCTACGAATGGTTGGGTGTTTTTGTTGAAGAGTCGACGTGGAAATTAATTTTGGGGTCAATCAAATCTGTAGTCGATCCCCCAGTCGGGTATTTGGGGGCATTTTCTAGACTTGGTCGCTCTCCCGTGGGTCATCACGGCGGACTGGCACACGCCGCCAGGCGATCTGAGCAGCTCCGAGCGGCCCGGTCTGCCAGGGGGCGCGGTGAGCCCCGTCGGCACCACGTGGGCCTGTGGTCGGCCGCCCTTCCAGATTCTGGACCGCTGCCGCTTCTCGCGCGCGGCCATGCCCTGCGGTTCCGGCCCACGGAGCGGGGGCAAACCACGCGGCTACCGCGGCTACGCCTGCAGTCAACCCGTATCCGAAAGGATGCGCGGGTTGACTGTACCGTCGACGTCGGCGCGACCGACGCGGAGATCCATGTGCTCGACCGACCCCAGCGCTGCGCTCATCCTCCTAGGCCGACGCGTCAGGCTGACCCTGATAGCAAAAGGTCGAGGAAACGCCGATGGCGACAGGAGAAGGCCGCCTCCTCCTCCTCCGCCTCCGCCTCCGCCTCCTCCTCCTCCTCCTCCTCCTCGACAAGCGAGAAGGCCATGCAGGAAGAGACCGATCTGGACACTAACAGGCGGAAGAGAGGATCCCGATCGGAGTTAGCCTACCTTCCCGCGACCCGCCAAAGTACATTGCACCTTCGGCTTCTGCGAGGATCCTCGGCGCCGCAGCACCGGAGGCCCCACCTGAGAGGGTCGCACCTATTAACCCAGTCGAGCTCGAAGCCGACCTGGACTTTGACAAGATGGCGGGACAGGAGGCCCTGGAGCAGAACGTCCAGATCCGCTGACCCGCTCGACGCGCGTGCCCCGAGCTGGTGCACCGCGCCTGAGATGGCCTCCCGATGGCCGAGCCGACTGCCTCCCCTGCGCAACGCCTGGAGCATGGAGGACCGCGATCGGTTGTGGCAAGAGGTTTTTTAGGAGGAGGAGGAGGAGGAGGAAGAGGAGGAGGAGGAGGAGGAGGAAGAGGAGGAGGAGGAGGAGGAGGAGGAGGAGGGGGAGGGGGAGGAGGAGCAGGAGGAGGAGAGGGAGGAGGAGGGGGGGGGGCCTGGGCCTTCCAGCTCTCGGGGCCTGCCGCCACCAGGCTCGGCCAGGTCTACTCCCAGTGAGCTTCGCCTCTTCGAGCTTGTTTCGGTCCAGCTTATCGACGCTCCCCAGGAACAAGGGGCCAGGCTTCTGGGGTGGGCCCGACTGTCCCCACCTCGCATCGCGAGGATGAGCCGTAGGGGGCAGTCTAGGCGCTTCACCGGTCTCATTGCCCAGTGTTGGAGCGAACTGCTCCAGTTTGTGCAAGTCTCCGAGCGAGCTTCGAAGCACCCCCTTAACTCCCGATAACCCGGGGAGCTGGGGCCATATCAAAGCTCCAGCAGCGTGCGCTGGATGAGCCAACAGGCCCAGCCTTGAGCATTCCTCTTGAATCCACTAGATCTTGGAAGGCTCGGTTCCGCAAGGTGGCCAGCTGAACGCCGGGGGGAATTTCTGGTCTTGCTGGAGGCCGCGAGGATCAACGCCGCTATTTCGCAACATGCTGCTGCCAGAGCCGCCGCTGGTAAGTTTCCTTCGTGGGTGGAGAAGGCTTTTAGTGGCCGTATCGATCGGCCAGCTCCACAGGTATACCAAGCCCCCACCACGGGCCCTGCGCGAAATTATCACCGGGGAATCCACCAGCAGCCCCCTCTCTGCCATGGATTTGAGGAGAGGTCCAAAAGGTGGACCACCCCAGACCCCCAGCATGCCTGGACCAAGGTCAACCAGGCCATCCATCGTGCCAGGCGCATGGCCCAGGACGAACAGGTCCCTCCTCTCTCTCTATCTCTCTGTCTGTCGCTCTCTCTCTCTCTCTCTGTCTCTCTCTCTCTCTCTCTTTCTCTCGTTGGACCACCCCACCTGCCTCACCCAGGAGCCCCCGATGACTGGGCGAGGGATTGATGACCTGGGGCCCAATAACATACAGGAGATCGGACCTGAGGGATAAGGAGCCCTTCTGGATCTCTTTCGCCAGGCCGACAGGGACCTCGTTTGGCCCTGGCAGTTCTTACCAGCCCTCATGGGACTGATCCCCACGGACTCGGGGGGAGAGAAGGCGATCGCTCTCCTCGACTGGCCCGCCCGCCTCAGAAGTCTGCTTCCGAATGGGCGTTCTCGGGCAGGCACAGGGAGAAGGCGATCGACCTCCCTCGCCTGGCCCGCCCGCCTCTGGAGTTTGCGTCGGAATGGGAATCCTCGGGCGGGGGGGAGAAGAGGGCGATCGCTCTCCTCGCCTGGTCCACCCGCGTCTGGAGGTTGCTTCGCAATGCGATTCCTTGGGCGTGGCTGGACGGCCGGGCGGGATTCCGGGGCGAAGCAATCCGAGGCATCAGCGCGTTGAGCGCGGCAGTCGGCCGCCACTTTGTGAGTGCGTCCTGCGACGCCTTCGGCGCCAGCCACCTCTCCGTC